TGGGTACCAGTCAGGGCCCTAATGCTTCTGTGTTCCCCTCTCCTCCCAGATGAGAATGCCAACCTGGGCACGGTGATGCGGTACGAGGAGATTGGTGAGTGGGGATGGGAAAGCAGGGGTGGGGCACGGGGAGACGCCTGCCTCCACCATGGGCAAAGTGGGGGCGGAGAGAGGCTTGAAAACCCTGGGCCAGGGTGGCTACCGGGTCTACTCTCAGAAGAGTCCCAAGCAAAGACCAAAGTCTCAGTGATCCCCCTCTTCGCCTCCTAACTGCACTCTCGCCAGTTCCCAGGAGGGAGGCCTGATCCCTGGGCAGCTTCCCCTTGGAGCCTCCTCTCCCTCATGCAAGACCTGGGAGTCGAGCTTCAGTGTCAGCCAGAGGGACCCGCCCACTCCACTGCACAGGAGGCAGAAGACCTTTGGATGGAGAGGGGCAGAGAGGGAGCCGAAAGCTGCCCCACAGCCTCCCTGCAGCCTGGGACTGAGGCTAAGGCATCTACCATCCATGCGAGGGCCGTGGAGGCTCAAGGCCAGAGCAGGTGGAGGGCGGGTACCCGGAGCTGCCAGGTGGACAGGAGCCAACCTGCCCCAGGGAGGGAACCGAGTCCAGGCCAACCTGGGGAGCAAACCAGAAAACTGCAATCTTTCTAAGGTTCCAGAGTGGATGAGAGATACCGGGGGGACACAAATATCTGACGCTGGGGAAAGAGCAGACAGGCTCCAGAATGCAGAGGGTCAGTGGCAATGGGATGCCTGGATCTCTAGGGGGAGGGGCAGTCTGGCGTCCAGCAGACACGCTCAGTCTCCAAGGTCCAGCTGCAGAGACGCTGCAGGTGCCCCCTCCCGCAGTCCTCTGTCTGGGACTGGCGGTCACGGCCTCCCGCAGTGACGCTGAGAGGTGGGCTGCACTTGAACATCAGGTCCTCCCAGGAGGCCCAGCAGCTGTGACATCATTTCAGGGGCTTTTCTGGGTCCTGTCCTCTGATCTGAGGTGCACTCAGCTCAGCTCTCGCTGGTTTGCTAGAACCATTTGCAAGGTTTCCAGGAATTTTGTGAAGCGGCGGTTACACGCAGCCAATACAAAAAAATTAAATTATATCAAGTAACAGCTAAGTAAATTGTGTTAAAAACCAAAGTAATGAGTACTGGAAACTCCTCACTTCCTAAGTAGCTGACCATATTTTAATATCCTTTATTTACTGGCACGGCCCTGTCTGAGGGCCACAGAAAGTGGTACCTGGCTTCCTGGGGGCACCCCAAAGCAGGCAGGTGCACAGTGGCCACAGCCTCCAAACCCAAAGGCCAGGATGGGAGCGAAAGCCCTGCACCCCCTTCCCCAAGGTTCCACACTGGCCAAGAGTTCATTTTCGGGGGAAGTTTCATGACCAGCAGAGCTCCCTCCTACCGAGAGGCAAAGCCAATGGGGGTTTGCACAGGGCTCTGCTCTGCGCCCAGCGCTCACTGCAGCCTTGAGAGGGGCAGTCTTCGCCCGTCTTACTTACTCTGCCTTCAGAAGAAGGAAAGCTGGGTGGCCACAGGGGTCAGGATGGATGCCTGGCCTGGCACAGGTGGCGGCTGCCTCTGTGTGCGATGGGAGCTGGGAAGGGCCGAGGGGCCTGGGCTTCACATAGCACAGATTCCTGGGTGGGGAGGGTGCCTGGAGAGCACTGACCCTGGCTGTGGGCCCTGGATCCCCGGGGGCGGGGGGGAGCGGGAAGTGGGAGAGAGCTGCCCTGCCTCCCCGGACCTCCGTGCTGGGAAGCCCTCTGGCTTACACGTTCTCTTTTTGCAATCCCCTTGCATGCTTCAAGAGAAGGGAAAAGCCATTTTTCTCTTAGCTCAGTTAGCATTTTGGCTCCATGTTCTTAACCAGCTGACTGTCCTGCTAGCGGGAGGTGGGGAGGGGGCAACCCCAGACCAAAGGCTTTGTGGGCTCTAAAGGCCTCCTGTCTCAGGCAGGAAACTGGGAGAAATCACTGCTGCCCTCTAGTGGCCACACGTGAAATCCCAAGCCCTGTGAGGGCCTGCGGTCTGTGATAAACACATCTGCTCTGGTCCTGTAAGCGAAGGTGGAGACCCCACTCTAACTCTCGGTGCTCTGGCTTTTAACAAAATAATAATCCAACATTCTACTGGAGTGGGAAAGCGAGGCTCTGGCTGGGGGCTAGAAAAGAGATTCATTCCCACGGCTACCGAGCAGAGGTCCTGGTGGGGGCTGCCGCACGCAGAGTAGGGTGTCCAGCAGCATCCCTGCCTCTCCCCGGTCTTGACAACCAAACACCTCTCCAGACGCTGCCAGCTTCTGGAGACACAATTACCCGCCGCTGTGAACCCCTGAGTGAGAGCGAGCTGAGGGCCGGCACATCCTCTGGGTTCGGCCCCCCTGACTGAGCTTTCAGGTGCCTGGAGTTTGTGCCTCAGCCTTTCAACAGGGAACTGACCTGGCTCTCTGGCTCCTGGTGGGGGGCAGGAACAACAGGCTCCCAGGAGAGAATCTGGCCTGGCTCCTCTGAGCCATACCAAGGCCGGTTCCTCTCCACAGGTGGGGAGTCGGGCCAGCAATCCCAGGGCATAACATAGAGGGAGGGAGGCATCGCTGACTAGGGCGACACTTCCCAGGCCCCCAAGATATAAGGGCAAAGGCCATGATGGCCAGCCCGGCCAGTCCAGACCGCCCGGAGGCTCTGAGACAGCCTGCCTGCATGGCCTCTGTTGGTCAGCTGGTCTGCAGTTCACTTAGCCATATGTCCTGAGCACCTACTGTGTGCAGGTCACTCTGTCTGGCCCTGGGGATATAAAGGTAAGTTAAGGTCCCTGCACATAAACAAATCATTTGGCTATAGCAGGACATCAGGAGGAGAGGGAAAGGGAGGAGGGAGAGAGGGAAGGGGGGGTGGGGATGAAGGAA